GGTAAAAATGGTAAACAGTAAGGACCAAATCAGGGATTTTTTTAGTTCAGGGACCAAATCGGGGGTCCGTACAATAGTTCAAGGACCAAAAAGGGGTTTTAACCATTAAACTTCCTTTCTTAAAATTTTTTATGGAAAGATGAAGGCCCCACTAGAGTAGGGTAACAATGTGATAAGAGAAACTGGGATTACGGGTTCCTAGCTCCTCAAGCAAGTCTAAATCCCAGTTTAACTGCCATGGTTAGGTGCTGAAGTGGTAAATCATCCCAATCCATGTTTGTCAGTACCAGTGCACCTCCTGGGAAGGCTTTCATTACAACGTATGGGATGTTAATAATTTTTTTATGTTTATTAAATAACATTTTAAGATTATATATTTAATTTATTTAAAAATATATATTTTATAACTATATATTTAAAACGATATATAATATTTTTTAATACTCAATAAATACCGTTCTAATAATAAAATTAACACATATATGGGTATGAAATTGACCATCTTATTTAAGATGTTACTGTAGAGTGTAGACCCTCTCTCACTTAATCTAGTCGTCTAAGACTTTTCACAGAAAGTAGGGTTCACTTAATCTGGTCGTCTAAGACTTTTCACAGAAAGCAGGGTCCAATTACTAATATCTTGGTCCACCTTACTAATTAAACCTTTTTTTTTTTTAGGTAAAAAGGAGAAAGCGTATCATAAATACTTAAGATCCAGGGTTACAAACCCCAACAGAATCAGCAGCACAGAAAAGGTTCACATTAGATGGACAATCATACAAAATATGAAGACGATAAGAGGCATGAACCCCTCTTTTAGCTAACGTATCAGCAACCATATTACTCTCCCTCACAACATGCTTCAGGTGAACGCGTGGGCTTACTAATTAAACCATTCCACCACGGGCTAACACTTATTACAAAAGAGTTCATTTGTGGCCTTAGTGAAACTGCCCAACATATTTATATTGCTGATATGCTTTCTTCAAGAAAGCTTCCACACGTCCCCCTGATAGTGAACCAAGTCCAACTCCTTCCTTCAAGGCTAGCGCCTCTTCCTCCATGTGTCTTGCTTCCGCTGCCACTTCTCTCAGGTAATTGACAAACTGATATGCCTTACAATCTTTCTTGTTGCTTTCCCCTTCCCAGTATTTAGCTTCCTTCTCCCATTGATTGCGTTCCTCTTCTAATCCATCTCTCTGGGAGTATGCTTCCGTCAGCTGCGCCCTCAGGACCTCCAGTTCATTTGACAGCGAAACCTTTTCTGACGCTAAAGCAGCATTTTGTTCTTGCAATTTTTTCATAGCAGCCTCGTAGTGCATCTCCCTTTCCTCGTACAGGTCATCCGTTTCATCATTTCTTTCAGGTTCGAATGGTTCTGGGATAACGAAGCCCCTTAACCGATTTGCTCGCCATTCGGGATATCCCGGGGTAGTTAAATCAGTATATGCCCCAGCAGCCACACGATGGATGTTTTTCCAGGCCTCACATACATAAAAGATGCGGTCGCTGGTCCCTGGAATTCCATATGCAAACCCAAATGTGTCAAGCTTGGATATCACTGGCATGAATTGTAAAGATCCAATCTGCCTTCTAACCAAAGCAGGTGCATAGGCAGTTGCTCCCCACAAGCCTAACAAGGGTACCCATGGGTAGTTCCCACAACGGTATAGCAATGGGGGATGATCCATCCATGGGGCCTTCCATATCACATTTGTTGCAGTCACCCTTCGCAGGTTCTCCATCCAGGCATGTTCCGAGATTGGTCTGGGCCATGTACTCATATTGAATTCTTCTATGGGGAACCTATCTCCAACATTAGGATCCTTGAATTCACTGTGGAGGCACTCGAAATGGCTTTTCAGCCATATCGTTAGCAATTGAGCACATCCTGTGAAACTCCCTTGCCCATTGATTCTGCAGTGATTCAACGACCGGAAAGTTTCAGCCAGTATAACTGGGATAGGGTTAGCGTTGTCCAACAATTGCTCAAACAGGTTGACAATTTCTCTATCAACATATCCCAAAGCCTTTGGGAACAATACCAATCCATAGATTGCTAGAGCAAAGGCATTCAAAGTAACTGGGTTGTCAGGATTTCCACGAATGAAGTCTTGCAGCCCATACCATGGTATTCCTTCATTTTCCCCGTTGTTTTCAATCAAACCTTCAAGATCTTGAACCTGGATGCCCATGATCTTTGCTAATTTTCTCTTAAATCCATAGCCAGCATCATGCTTATTATATATTTTTTCCGATGTTGCACTTGGCATTCTAAGCAGGGCTGCATATTCTTCAAGAGTAGGAGTCATGTCAACTTCACCAAATACAAAGACACGGCAACTGGGATCCCAAAAGCAGATTGCTGCCCTAAGCATTTCTTCATCTATTGTAGTAGATAGAAGGAATCCTATGTGCCCAAACTTTCGATTGAATTCGGAGCGGCGCTCGGTAGACCATTCGTCATATATCTTTCTCCATTCCTGCAAATTATTGTGAGTGAAGGTAATATTATGCACCCTCTCCGGTAACTGAGTCATCCTTCTCTCTAGGTGATAATTTCTTGCACTACTTTCTGACTCTTCTATGACAGTCCGCTGGGGTTTAATTACATTGCCGGCCTCCGACAGCACCGCCAGGAACGGTTGCCGGCTCACCACCTCATCCTCACCGGGAGCCACATAATTATTATAGTCCAGTGACTCATCAATGTAAATATCCCACCATTTGTTCACCAACATCTTGATATCTTCCCTGTCCATGTTCTGTTCTATTCCAGTGAACCTCCACGGCTTGGACCCGGCGGCGGAGTAGTGCACCACCTTCACTTTCTCCAGCTCAATCTTCTCCGGATGACACCATAGCATGGCCAAAACCAGGTTGTAAATCGGTGGAAGTGGCTCGTAAATTTCCCTGAAGAACATATTCAAGAAGTCCTGCTCGGCAAATGGGGTTGGAGGGCTGATCTCGAGTTTCCTCAAGAGTTCGTCATAGACGGAGAGGCTAGGTTCAAAAACGAACATACCGGCGTTGAAGTAGAGAGGAGGCTTGGGACCCAACTTCGCCGGCCACTGGACCTCGTCCGGACACTGCTGGCAGTATCCGATCCTGTACTGAGGAGTGTCGCTCCATGTCTTCTCACAGAAACAGTCTGTCACGGCGTAGAACTTGCCGTCCGGTTTGTCAAACAGATCATCGATGTTCTCAAACACCTGAATATCGCCGTTCAAGTATACCATCTTGCTGTACTCCACAAACTGCAAATTTTCCACACAACTTAGTGTCAAATTACAAAAATACGGCTCACATGAATATATATCAATAGCAATCGGTCAAAAAATTAATTACTTACGTTCCATATAAGAAGCTTGGAGTAATTGATGACATGGTCGGCCGTGGCGAAGTGCGTCTGGTTCTCCGGCGGGTTCTCCGGCGGGTTCTCCAGCAGGTGCACAGGCTCAATCTCCTTGACTATGCACCCTTGCTCGACCAGAATCTTCCGGTGATCCCCAGGAACGTCCGGTAAGATGGCCACCACAAGTGGGTACCTGCTCTTGACCTTCCTCAAGCCCTTGGCCAAACCCACCACGCCCTCAACATAATCACGATTTCTGGCCAAGAAGGTGACATAAGCCCTCGTGGGAAGGCTTGCTGCCTTGGCCAGACCGATGACAGTAGTTTTGGTGGTGGTGGTGTTAGCAGCCATATTTTGAGTTGTGTGAAGAGTTGAGAGAGGGTGTTTCTTAGGATTTGGAAGGAAAGTGAGAGAAAATGTTTGCTTCGTTGAAGAGAAAACTTTGTGTATTGAGATGATGAGAGTGAAAGGGGAAGGGGTGGGGATATATATATAGGCGTCGGTCTATTTATTTTATTCATGAATAATTTTTTCCTTAGTGAAGCAAAGTCCACCTACCCCACGTTGCTTGATCGGACGGTTGCAGAGTGAATTCAGGAATTGGACGGCGCATAAAATTCATATGGTTGTCCTTTCTCTACCCTCTTATTTCTCCAAACAATCAATGAGGGAATCCACCTGGGGATGGAATGGAACCAACCAAAGAGGTGAAATGGCTCACCATCAAATTTAAAGAGTACAGATTTAAGTGATTAGATGTTTTATTTTTATTAATTACTCATAAATTTATCTTTTTCTCTTAAATTTCTCATGTTAGAAAAGA